TTGATCTTCAATGGGACACGTGACATCGACGTACCTGTGATGTAGATCAACTTTCTTAATAGCCTCGTTAAGTGGTTCGTTTTCTAGCTTTGCTATGAAGAGGTCAGCTGGAGTTGTGTCTAGACGTCAACCCATGTCAATCCGGTCTGTTAGCAGTTTTGAACGTTCATCCTACAAATGAGAAGCAGATAATTCAGGCAATCCTTGGGAGAATCAGTCAAATGTATTTCTACATTGTTATAGATGATGAACTATAGATGAAACTTTTTTTATCGAATTTTACTTATCTGAATACTATTATTGCACCTGTACTCATACGAACAAATTTCACTTTTACCTAATATGAGCACGTACGTAGAATTGTGATGATAAACTCAAACTTCCTTGAAGTATTTAAAAGATTCATATACATAATAATGTATATTAGAGTGAAGCATGATGCTGATCTAAGCGAAATTGTTTGCGTGTAAACTTGTTGTTTTCAGATAGGAATAGTTCCAAGTGAGTAGCGTTAGATGGTAACAGTGAAATAAGACTTTAACAGAGAATATAATTATTGTGTTTGTCACTCGTTGATATACAATAATGTATACGATTCATTTCAAATAGAGGAAATTGGAAGATTCAGAGAAGAAGGACAATGCATCAACGGAAGTTCAAACACTAAAGCAATGGCTCGACATTGTTCGAAATTTCTCATATATAATAAAAATTGCTTTTCAACTTCATGATCATCAGTTTGTAAGTTCGATGATTTTGAAGAATTTCAATGATTTTATGTGTCATTTCTCATTTCAATTGTTGTTCAGTATTCGCAGATAACTTCAATCAGTTTATCGTTTCTGTTGCGTATTGTAACAAATAGAAATGAAATGCATGGAAACCGCATACTTCGAAATCGGTTCTCTCACAACCTACTTCTTTGCACATATAATTGAAAGAAAATTCATCTACTCAGTAGGATCTGATAGATGGTGATGGTTAGAGAGTAGTGTCATTCTTAATTGCAATAATCCTACAAATTTTGTATAATAGTTGTTTATTCGATAACTGCTAGTACTAGTTGATGATCAGGTACATCGACAATTCGATGTGGTATTATGAACCTGTCTGTTGTATATAATTGTTGTCAGTTTGTGATGAAAATGATCGCGTTAATCAATTCAATATTGTGAAACATGATAGTGAAATATCGAGCAAACATGTGAGTAATTCATGGTTTAGTGAGATACACGTTATAAGAATTCAAGAATTGTTTCTGCTTTTGGTGAATACTGAATTCCCATTACTTCATGTGTGTGCATCACTTATTTTGGTTATTTGTGTAGAATATTTGTGATTTTGCTAATTGTAAGCCCGAGTATTTTGCAGTGAATATTGGTTTTTCAAAATGTTCGTAGGAAGTATGAGCTTTATCAATATTTGTGACATGTGGTGTTATTGTTCGTTTCAGATTGTGTTAGTTGGCCACACTGAAAGTAGACTTTACCAGAGAACGTAATTGTTTCGTTTAGGCACTAGTTGAAAAATAATCAATCATGTAGGCAATGCTTTTCACCGAGAGAATATCATCAGTAGATGCTGCGAATAATAATATTTAGGATTTATTTTGTTGACTTTCTATATTTATTTAATTGTATCGTCAATTAAAAATCTGGTTTTCGATAAAGTTCAAATACGTCATGGTTTTATTGAAATTTTTATTGAGTTAAATTTACTTAAACTTTTTCAAACACTGTCAGTTTCATTTAGTTTACAGCTCTGTGATAAACGTTTTTCCGCTTTCTTGTTTTCAGAAATAAACGTTCTGTGTGTGGTTAATGTTGCTGGTTTTCAAACCTAACACTGGTAGTAGTTGTTCATGCCTTTTAAGCTTGTTTGTTTATGATCATTGTTTCCGCCTTTATGTTTCTATATAGTGAATTTTATAAGGGTATGTACGCTTTACAATTCATTGTTTTATTCCTATAGTTCTTTTAGAATCATCAGATAATGAATAAAGTTTTGTTGCAGATTTAACTTGTGTTATGTGATGTTGATTGTAATGGTGAAACATATGGTTGTTAAATTTGTTTATATTTCGTTCTGTTGTAAACGCTGCTACGTAAACTCTTCAGTCCTAACGGCGTCCAATTCAAATACCGCAATACGACCCAAAAGGCTTTTTCCAACTCTCCTAGAAATCAGAACGTAACACCGTGGAAGGAAGATATTTATTGGGTCGAATACAGAAGAAGAAGTAGGCAGGGGAACGGAGTTATTAAGTCTTCCAGATAGCGCGTATTTATACACTAAGGTCGAATAAGAAAAAGCATCAACGTCTGTGACATTGAAAAATTAGGACGACCAATAGAAAAGAACATTTGAATGACATCGACCGTCCAGATGACCAATAAGAGGTAACATTGAAGTATTTGACCCTGACGGTAAGAACGATCACAATTTCGGCCAATAGAAATCGACCAATAGGATTACACTTCTAAAAATAGCATTCTTAGGATATTTGGTGAATATCCTAACACGTTCAAACTAACATCACAAACTATTCAGATGATAATAAACCAATTTTATATCCATACTGATTTTTTACCAAAAATAGCTTACTAGGTTAGAGAAGTGAGTGATTGAACCTAAGGTTGTATCAATTGAATTAGTCAGACATGAATGAAGAATACTCGATTAATCAAATATATTATTCGTATTTAAAGGTTGACAGAAATAAGGCGGTTCGAAATTTTATGAAACTACATGAAAAGTGATAACTATGTAACCGGATTGCCTAAAGTGGTGAAATAAATTTTGAAAGGTTTTGTTGGCCCTCGGAGTGAGTCTAGGTTCAGTTGAAATCTGTGTGGGGATCATCACCTCATTGGCCCATTATCTGGCTCAAGTATTTATGAACGACCGAGTATGCTATGTAATAGATCTCTCCATCAGTTTCCGTCAAGTATATTTGGGCGAACCCCGTTCGTGTTACAGAGGAAACAGGAAGCCAAATACGGATTCGGTTAAAAGAGTTTCTTTCAGACAATTCTTCATGCAGACATGATATGATAATGAAATGCGCACAAATAAGGCAAGGTGGAGAAGGCGAGTGAGACAACTCATTCTGATGAAACATGACCAAGGATTTATAGTGAGATAGAGTAAGTCAGACATGTGATAAGCGAATAGGATGAATATGCGCGTAGGCGGTAAGCAATGTTCAGTCGTACCAGCTCACACAAACCAGACAATATTAAATGTCAATGGTACTTATAAGTTGCTGCTATACAAATGACTTGGTTAAATAAGTTGATCAAAACACTTGACAAAAGTGAAAATGAGCGAACTCAAATGTTGTATGTGGAGGCACTACAGTTTCTTTCATCTTTATGCTCTTATGCACAAATGTTTGGAGGAGCTTAACGCTGATATCGAGAACAGACTGGTTTGTAGTTGTTGAATGTCTTAAAAAAAAAATTCAATTCATATAATTTTGATCGTGATCCGGCTAGAGAGTCTCATAAACTTATCGTATCAAAGATTTTCCCTAGACAACTCAGTAACTCTCAATTAGGTGTTGTTGATGTTTGAGAAATTTCAGTTTTCCTCATCATGAATGAATAAATGAGAATAATTCAACTTCCTAACTGATAACAATGCATCAAAGATTAAGATTCGGTTAACATAAATTCAAATAACTAGATTAAATAAAAATAGGTAAGCACATTATCACAGAGATGAATTCAACGATCATTAAAATCTCTTATTCCAGTGTCGTAAAATATTTGTATGCTGATAGATGTGATGTTGTTCGACTATAGTAACTCACTGAAGCATAAGGGTAACTAACATATCTGAATCGATTCCATATGGGTATATGTGGATATGATGGATATGATTTGAGAAGTATAATTCAATGAGATAAATTTAGAAAGTGAAAGATAGAGATGATGAACAATTCAGAAGGTCAGAACCTGAGAGAACACAAAGAGTGCATGCACTTGCGCCATTGTCAATGATTTTGAGACATGTCATTCAAGGTCCCTAACCATTGATGATTTACATATCGCGGACCCCAACCGCGTTGCCTATATCTGTGTGCCACTTCATTTTTCTCGGGAGTCTCGTCAATGCTGATGGCCTATGGAGTGACGAAATCTCAGTGCGAATACAGAAGGTTCGATTGGCTGTTGCCAAGTTGCGTCACTTATAGCGTGGGTGAGATATCCGTCCGCTGAATAAAGAAAGAGTGTACAGCTCAGCTGTTCGCTCCGTCCTACTTTATAGCTGCAAAACATGTCCAGTAGGAGTGGAATATATTCATAGGTTGTTAGTATAGGATCATAGGTGTCTTCGAAGCACTGCTCGTTTATCTTAAGTCTATTGAGTACGCAATGCTGTGGTTAGGAAACGGGTCCTAGATAAGAATGGCAGGTCAATAGATGAAGTATTGAAACTTCATCAATAATAGTAATAGTGGCAGTAGTGGTGTGGTGCGAGCTACTTATAAGTAGTACATAACCTGAGTGTCAACGTAATGTCTGGCAGCAGAAGATGGGGGAAGATCAAGAAAGGAAGAGTGGAAACACAATCGAATTTGTATGAAACGCATGAATAGTGACAATGGATTGATGTTTAGCAACAGGAACAGTCCAGTTCGATATGATGAACTGATATTTTGCAAATAAACGATTTACGATATGGTTTTCCAATTTTACTGAGTAACTCTGTAATTTTCGCTAAATACAATTTGGTTGTCCTCACCTGTGTTCCTCTTCACTACAGTAGTATCATGGATATTTGTTAAATATTTTGACAAATCACTCAATTAAAATGATTGTCTTTCAAATATATATATATATACATGTGAACTGAATAATTGTTAATGAATTCATAACAGTATTGTTTATCAAATAACAGTAGTTAGTAATCATTAGAAATTTTTTTTAAAAAAAAACTGTTGTATTCTATTATAAATCACGAATTGCAAGTAGTATATATAGATATACTTATTAGCTGTAACATAATAAATCAAAGCTGCATTAGTGTAAATTAATGTATACAACATTTTAGAAGGCATAAAAAAGTGTGTGTGAATTATTCAGAATTATGTTTCATTATGTGTAATATGTCATGAAATGCCAGGAAATCGGTATAATACATGACCTCTTTTTGTGTGTGGATATATTAAATGCTCAATTTTTCTATGAATAAACCAACAAATAACAAGAAAAAAATTGCACTAAAACAAAACAGAAATACTTGAACAAAATGTATATAGATTTAATTGCTTATTTCTTTATTGTAAAACCAATTGGTGAAAAATTAAATGTGAAGCCATTTTTTTTTTAAGAAAAAAGTTTGTTCATCTGAAACTGGTAAGAATTATGAATGACTGAGTAAAACGTTTCAAAGTTACTGTTGGCTTTCTCCCGCTCATCTCATTATTGATAATTGAATACAATTCAATGTTCAATGTCATGCCATGTGATATTTTTTTATTGATTATTTTATAGAATCAGATTATAATTTTTAATATCATCGTAATTGTGTGTGTGCGTGTGTGTATTCAGTCTGATAATTTAATAATTTCTAAAATATCTTTTAACCATGAATAAGTAGTTTGATCACTTTCAAATAAATGTTTTAATGGTACAATTAAAAATTGCCGCGTAATTTCATGTATCACATCTTTTTGTTGAAATACTATGGAAAAATAAGTAGAATCATTACGTAATATTGGTAAAGATGTTACATGATGATGATCGCTTGTAATAAATCGATTGGTTTTTTTCAATGAATTATTATTATTATTATTACTATTGGTTGTATTATGATTCGTTGAGTCAATAATGATCAATGATGTTTGTGAATTCGATGTTGCGTTTGTGTGTTGATTCGATGAACAACAATGACTTTTTAACATTTCAACAAATCTATGATGTAATGAATAGACTTCACTGGAATTCAGTAGTGGAGTACGATCTGGAAAAAATAAAGGGAAACATAATTATCACGATATTATTGAAACGTTTAATTATAGGGTTATGAAAAAGTTTGAGTTTTTCATTGAAATTATGAACCGATTCATGTGAAATAATCATTGAAATCCTGAAAGAATTGGTTGGCCTCTTTTGGTGTTAGTATTTGACTCCTCACTAAGTTGTAAGTATCCATGAATATTGAACTTTGATTTCACATCACAGTGTTATGGAGATCGTTGTTTCTACACATTGAAATCATCAATGAATCATTGTTAGACCACCATCAGAAATATAACCAGTGAAGTTCAACCCTTTCAGGTATCGGGAGCAAAAGTCGAAGACAAATGGGTGAGGTTGAGCAAAATCTTTAGATTGATCAGATTTAGACAATAACAACGTTAGATGACGGCTGAGTGGTACAGAGGTGGTTAAGCGTTTGCACGCGAGACCAAAGTTCCTGAGTTTGATTCTTGTGAACGGAGGTCAGTAATGCACACTGCGAATGAGTCCAATACCAAGACGTAATGGCTGATTTTTAGTGCATCTAGGTTACTAATGACGGTCTGATATCTTTAGAAACCCAGAGACACTGGATAAACACGTCTTCCTAGTGTAGTGTGCAACCATGACCCATGCACGTAGGAGATTCTGCTGCGCATAAAACACTCACCTCTAGATTATTGATTTGCCTATCCAACGGTTTTATTGTCTAACTTCAATCAATCCAAACTACTTTACAACCTTCATTCCATAGCATGCCGTGGACAACAGTTTCACAATCGACACAAACTGAACTCTCCTGTTTATGGCTTCGGACTAGAACTGCAGAAATACCTCATGAAACTAGTCACAGAGAAACACAACTTTTAAAACTGTTATAGACACATTGAAAATGTTATCTCTGGGTATCAAGCGGTATTTTACCTTGGAATCAACATCTAACAAGAAATCAAAAACTGATTTGAATAAAATCATATGTAGATATGTGCGTTGTGTACATCATGAGTTTTTTTCTGTTTAGTGATCTTTTGCGAGATAATTTTCTATGTGGTGAGGTCACTAACCTCATACTTACTTACTTACTTTCGCCTGTTACCCCAAATGGAGCATAGGCCGCCCACCAGTTTTCTCCAACCAACTCTGTCCTGGGCTTCCCTCTCCAGTTCTGTCCAATGTTTGTTCATTCCTCTCATATCTTTCTCTATTTCACGGCGTAATGTATTCTTTGGCCTTCCTCTTTTCCTTTTGCCTTGAGGGTTCCATGTGAGGGCTTGTCTCGTGACGCAGTTAGGTGCTTTTCGTAGAGTGTGTCCTATCCACTTCCAACCCTTCTTCCTGATTTCCTCCTCCATTGGAATCTGGTTTGTTCTCTCCCACAGTTCGTTGTTGCTGATGGTGTCTGGCCAACGAATACGAAGTATTTTGCGTAGACAGCTGTTAATAAACACTTGTATCTTCTGGATGATGGCTTTGGTAGTTCTCCATGTTTCCGCTCCATACATTAGAACTGTCTTGACATTTGTATTGAAAATCCTTATTTTGGTTTTCGTTGATATCTGTTTGGAGTTCCAGATATTTTTCAACTGTAGAAATGCAGCCCTTGCTTTGCCAATCCGTGCCCTCACATCTGCATCGGATCCACCTTTCTCGTCGATGATGCTGCCAAGATATGTAAAGGTGTTAATGTCCTCCAAGGCATCTCCATCAAGAGTGATTTGATTGGTGCATGTTGTGTTGCATCGGAGAATTTTGCTTTTTCCTTTATGTATGTTGAGACCTACTGCTGCAGAGGCTGCTGCTACACTCGTCGTCTTCTCTTGCATTTGTTGTTGAGTGTGCGATAGAAGAGCCAGATCATCTGCGAAGTCCAGATCGTCCAGCTGCGTCCTAACTGTCCAGTTGATACCGTGCTTCCTTCCAGCTGTTGACGTTTTCATAATCCAGTCGATGACCAGGAGAAAGAGAAAGGGTGAGAGTAAGCAACCTTGCCTCACACCGGTCTTTACCTCGAAAGAGTCGATTAGCTGTCCTCCGTGCACGATTTTGCAGTTGAATCCATCATAAGAGTTCCGTATGATGTTAACTATTTTCTCAGGCACACCGTAGTGTCGAAGAAGAGTCCACAGTGTTTTCCTGTCCACGCTATCGAATGCTTTCTCGTAGTCGATGAAGTTGATGTAGGGTGGTGAGTTCCATTCAATTGATTGTTCCACAATGATCCGTAATGTATCAATTTGGTCAGTACACGATCGATCCTTACGAAATGCAGCCTGTTGATCTCGAAGTTGGGCGTCTACGAAGTCCTTCATTCTGTTTAACAATACTCTGTTGAAGACTTTGCCTGGTATTGAAAGAAGATTTATCCCTCTGTAGTTCTCACACTTGCTGAGATCGCCTTTCTTTGGTATTTTGATGAGGTATCCTTCCTTCCAGTCTGATGGTACTTGTTCCTCATCCCAAATCTTCTTGAAGAGGATGTGAAATATTTTTGCAGTTGCTTCCAAATCTGCTTTCATCGCCTCTGCTGGAATGTTGTCTGGTCGTGCTGCTTTGCCGCTCTTGATTTGTCTGATGGCTATACTGATCTCCTCAATCGTAGGTGCGCCAATATTAATTGGGAGGTCCGTGGATGCTGCTTCGATGTTGGGTGTCTTCAGAGGAGCTGGCCGATTCAATAGTTCCTTAAAGTGCTCCACCCACCTATTTCGCTGTTGTTCAGTGTTGCTGATTACTTTGCCTTCCTTGTTTTTCACTGGTCGTTCTGGTTTACGATAGTTTCCGGCGAGCCTCTTTGTAGTTTCGTACAATTGTCTTAAGTTTCCTTCTCTTGCAGCCTTTTCCGCCGTCATTGCTAGATCTTCCACGTATTTTCGTTTGTCAGCTCTGATGCTCTTCTTCACTTCCCTGTTTGCTTCTGTGTATGCAGCTTGTGCGGTAACTTTCTCCGCTCTTGTTCGGCTGACATTGATTGCTGCTTTCTTGTTCCTCCTTTCTTCAATTTTTGCGAGAGTATCAAAAGAGATCCATTCCTTATGATGCTGCTTCTTGTGACCAAGGACCTCCTGACATGTTGAAGTGATTGCCTCCTTAATCCTTTTCCAATTGTTCTCCAATGTTGTGTCCTCTCCATTGTGTAGATCCTGAAAGGCCTGGAACCTATTGGTGAGGGCTATCCTGAATTCGTTGAGCTTTACAGTATCCCGAAGAAAGGCCGTATTAAACTTGTGCGATGTTGTCTGTCTCGTTGTCCAGTGCTTCTTTAGTTTCAGTTTCATTTTGGCGATCAGCAAATGGTGATCTGAGGCTACATCAGCTCCTCTCCTGGTTCTCACATCCTCCATGGTCCTTCTGAACGTTTTGTTGATACAGATATGATCAATCTGGTTTTGAGTAGTGTGATCCGGTGAAATCCATGTAGCTTTGTGTATGCGTTTGTGCGGGAATATTGTGCCACCGATGACCAGTTTGTTGAAGGCACATAGGTTTGCAAATCTCTCACCATTTTCGTTTCTTTCTCCCAGTCCATGTCGTCCCATGATGTCTTCATATCCAGTGTTGTCCATTCCAACCTTGGCATTCAGGTCTCCCATAAGAATCGTCAAATCCTTTGGTGAACATTTATCGACGACTGACTGCAGCCTTTCGTAGAATTGATCTTTAACGTCGTCATTGTAGTCATTGGTAGGTGCATAACATTGGATGACGTTCATTGTAATGTCCTGTTTCTTTGTTTTGAAGGATGCTTTAATGATCCTGGGTCCATGAGATTCCCATCCTATTAGTGCCTTTTGTGCATGTTTGGACAGCATCAATGGAACTCCTTGTGTATGTGAAGCATTTTCCTCTTCATGACCAGAGTATAACAGCAGTTCCCCTGAAGCTAGTCTCAGTTGTCCTACTTGTGTCCAATGTGTTTCACTGATTCCAAGCACCTCGAGGTTGTATCTTTTCATTTCTGCCGCAACTTGAAATAGTCTTCCAGTCTCCCACAATGTACGAACGTTCCATGTACCTAAAAAAATGGTTGCTCTGGTTGTCAGAAGAGGCATCAGCCCCGTGACTTCCGAGGGAACTCGGCTTTCATCACGAGACGTCATAATTCTTCTTCCAACTCCCAGGGCAGAGTTAAAATGGTTTGAATTATTTTTTCTGGTTAGCGTTTTTTTGGCAAGTTAGTTTTTGACGGGATGGGGTCGCCAACACCCTGTCCAACCCTCCTCCTTTATCCGGGCTTGGGACCGGCAGTAGCCCCGAAGGTTCTACTGGCGGAGTTCGCTAACCTCATGCCCAACCCTTATCCTTTATCAGGGCTTGGGACTAACAGTAGCCTCCAACAGGTTCTGGGAGGAGAAAGAAATCAGAAAAGAGCAATAGAGGTGGATAGGATACATTAAGGAAAGCATCCTGATGTGGCACAAGACGAACCCACACATGGAATATTCAAAGCCAAAAGAAGAAGCGGAAGTCCGAAGAACACACTACGCCGGTCAATGTTAGACCACCATTAGAAACTTGGAAGTTAGACGAAAACATCATTGAATGCCGGCTTAGTGATCTAGAGGTGGGCATTCGCATACAAATTTAAAGGTTCAAAGTTCGGTGTCAATCGGTAAAAACTTACAATTGACTGGTTTATAATTCACTAAAATCAATGCAGCTAAACCCCAAACTGCATTGTAATCATCTTGAATTAATATTTTTAATTGAGCACCAAATTGTTGAATTTGACTGGTCCAATTACCAAAACCTAATTGGAATAATTCCGCACAAGACATGGATTGACCATTTTCAAATATAAATTTATTCTGCTTTCGATAATGATAAAAATAATGATCACAATTTGTCAGGTAATTTGTTTTATAAGAATCGATAACATGCGATGACTTATCAATCGATAAATGATCTTGTTCATTCCAACTAGTTGTTGATGGAATAAACTTACTTACTTACTTACTTTCGCCTGTTACCCCAAATGGAGCATAGGCCGCCCACCAGTTTTCTCCAACCAACTCTGTCCTGGGCTTCCCTCTCCAGTTCTGTCCAATGTTTGTTCATTCCTCTCATATCTTTCTCTATTTCTCGGCGTAGTGTGTTCCTTGGCCTTCCTCTTTTCCTTTTGCCTTGAGGGTTCCATGTGAGGGCTTGTCTCGTGACGCAGTTAGGTGCTTTTCGTAGAGTGTGTCCTATCCACTTCCAACCCTTCTTCCTGATTTCCTCCTCCATTGGAATCTGGTTTGTTCTCTCCCACAGTTCGTTGTTGCTGATGGTGTCTGGCCAACGAATACGAAGTATTTTGCGTAGACAGCTGTTAATAAATACTTGTATCTTCTGAATGATGGCTTTGGTAGTTCTCCATGTTTCCGCTCCATACATTAGAACTGTCTTGACATTTGTATTGAAAATCCTTATTTTGGTTTTCGTTGATATCTGTTTGGAGTTCCAGATATTTTTCAACTGTAGAAATGCAGCCCTTGCTTTGCCAATCCGCGCCCTCACATCTGCATCGGATCCACCTTTCTCGTCGATGATGCTGCCAAGATATGTAAAGGTGTTAATGTCCTCCAAGGTATCTCCATCAAGCGTGATTCAGTTGGTGCATGTTGTGTTGCATCGGAGAATTTTGCTTTTTCCTTTATGTATGTTGAGACCTACTGCTGCAGAGGCTGCTGCTACACTCGTCGTCTTCTCTTGCATTTGTTGTTGAGTGTGCGATAGAAGAGCCAGGTCATCTGCGAAGTCCAGATCGTCCAGCTGCGTCCTAACTGTCCAGTTGATACCGTGCTTCCCTCCAGATGTTGACGTTTTCATAATCCAGTCGATGACCAGGAGAAAGAGAAAGGGTGAGAGTAAGCAACCTTGCCTGACACCGGTCTTCACCTCAAAAGAGTTTGTCAGCTGACCTCCGTGCACGATTTTGCAGTTGAATCCATCATAAGAGTTCCGTATGATGTTAACTATTTTCTCAGGCACACCGTAGTGTCGAAGAAGCCTCCACAGTGTTTTCCTATCCACGCTATCAAATGCTTTCTCGTAGTCGATGAAGTTGATGTAGAGTGGTGAGTTCCATTCAATTGATTGTTCCACAATGATCCGTAATGTATCAATTTGGTCAGTACACGATCGATCCTTACGAAATGCAGCCTGTTGATCTCGAAGTTGGGCGTCTACGAAGTCCTTCATTCTGTTTAACAATACTCTGTTGAAGACTTTGCCTGGTATTGAAAGAAGATTTATCCCTCTGTAGTTCTCACACTTGCTGAGATCGCCTTTCTTTGGTATTTTGATGAGGTATCCTTCCTTCCAGTCTGATGGTACTTGTTCCTCATCCCAAATCTTCTTGAAGAGGATGTGAAATATTTTTGCAGTTGCTTCCAAATCTGCTTTCATTGCCTCTGCTGGAATGTTGTCTGGTCGTGCTGCTTTGCCGCTCTTGATTTGTCTGATGGCTATACTGATCTCCTCAATCGTAGGTGCGCCAATATTAACTAACACTATTCTACAACCTACTCAGTGCCCAGCCATCCCTTCTACTTCTGTCAAGCTGATGTTCATTCTCCTCTCATTTGTGTCTGCATTTCTCGGCGAAATGTGTCATTTGGTCTACCTGTTCTCCTCTGGCCTTCAGGTTTCCAAGTGATGGATGGTTTGTGTTGTGACGCAGTTGGCTGATTACCTCATTGTTTGTCCTATCCACTTCCAGCTCTTCTTCTTCTTCTTCTTCTTGATTTCTTCCTCCACTGGTATCTGGTTTGTTCTTTCGCACATTAGGTTGTTGCTGATGCGATTGATGATTGTTGTTGACTTTTAAAGTGTCCTTATCTGCCTTTGAATTGTTTTTGATTGCATCTCTCTTTGATTGGATTCTTCATCCTATAATTTTGTTTATGAATTTTTCAACTGATTCATCGAAATATTCTTGGTTGATTGATTATGTCATATTGAAAAGGATTGATGGATGAACCGCTTTCACATTTTCGGTAATCTTTGTCAAGGATTACTGAAATTGATTTTCAATTATCTTATGGTGTAAAATATTATTTTAATCTCTGTTGAAAATGTCATTTTTTTTGTAAAGACTTTTTGGTGTTTGCACTACACTACTCATGAGTAACTACACTCTATGCTTACAAATATTTTGAAGTGATAGTAGAGTGTAGGTCAAAGGGAAAAACTAACGCGTTTGTTGGAGGTATCATTTGTGGAGCTGTCGGTGTTCTTCTGCTGAACAACATCATCAGCACAAACCTTTCACGTTTGCAAACATAGGATCAAATGACAGACAGATGGAAAAGCGTCGACAGTCTTAAGGTCAGTAACAACCAATCAAGATCGAGGTTAACAGAAACACAACAAGAAGCTACAGGTCAAACGTGAACAAATTTGATTACTTCACTTCTTCTACTTCTATCTGAAGTTTGTGATGTTATTCAGAACAATCAAAGCTCCACAATCAAAACATCTAGCTCACAGAAACAAACTTCACAACAGTCATCCATCTGAGCTAGGACTATTTTCTCCACCATTTCAACAATTTGGAAAAAATGAAATTATCAGAAAATGTTTGCAACTGCAAGGTTTAATCTGAACAAGTTTTATCTGGTTAGTCCAAATGAACGACCGAATACTGACCTCTCCGTACGACTGCTGTTATGATGAGTAGTAACCGAGAACACACATGTTGATACCCTCTAAAAACACAACACATGAGTGCGAAGACAAGAGCAAAAGCGAGATTTCAGCTGACTATCGCATTAGCCAATGACTATTGGCACTCACTGGCTAATTGTCATTTAAAGTAAATGGCAATAAATTCGAATCTCGGAATGAACATCAACTCTGTAATGTAGGTACATTCAGTTACTGCTTTCTAAATCCATAGTTAACTATCAATCATCTCCGCTTAACATAGCAGCCGTTGACTTAATGATGAAATATCCAAGCAATCGTCACGGCATCCAGAAGAATGCGAGAAGAGGTCGCCATCGGAAATATCAACTGAAACAGCCCAATAACTATTACAAGCGAAGTAACAACTATAAGTATTGAACATGAATAGTGAATTACTCGATTCGTGAGGATATTGCCAATGCATACTGATTAGGAGTCTGCATATCCATATTAGAAAACAAAGCGGCTTCCATTATACGATCACGTTGACTAGGGATCCACGGCCGCGTCATAAAACGTTGCAGATAATGCGTCCAATAGGAAACAACATTGAAGTCTGTGACATTGACAGTTATGATGACCAATTGGAAACAACATTCGAAGTATGTGACATTGATAGTTAGGACAACCAATAGGAAGTTACCAACAGAATAAGACTTACAAACAATTATCTTAGCATATTGGATGAATGAATATCCTAACAATTTTAAGATTTCGAATGATATTTTGCAAGTGTGAACAGCTTATACAACATCAAATAAAGACAAAACATATTTTCAATGAGGCTGTTAGTGATTTAACTTTTTACTTGCTTACTTGCTCCTGGTTCGCCTGAATGGAGCATAGCATAGTATAGCATAGCATAGCATAGCATAGCATAGCATAGCATAGCATAGCATAGGCAAACTGACAGTATTTATTCTACAACCTACTCAGTGCCCAGCCATCCCTTCTACTTCTGTCAAGCTGATGTTCATTCTCCTCTCATTTGTGTCTGCATTTCTCGGCGAAATGTGTCATTTGGTCTACCTGTTCTCCTCTGGCCTTCAGGTTTCCAAGTGATGGATGGTTTGTGTTGTGACGCAGTTGGCTGATTACCTCATTGTTTGTCCTATCCACTTCCAGCTCTTCTTCTTCTTCTTCTTCTTGATTTCTTCCTCCACTGGTATCTGGTTTGTTCTTTCGCACATTAGGTTGTTGCTGATGCGATTGATGATTGTTGTTGACTTTTAAAGTGTCCTTATCTGCCTTTGAATTGTTTTTGATTGCATCTCTCTTTGATTGGATTCTTCATCCTATAATTTTGTTTATGAATTTTTCAACTGATTCATCGAAATATTCTTGGTTGATTGATTATGTCATATTGAAAAGGATTGATGGATGAACCGCTTTCACATTTTCGGTAATCTTTGTCAAGGATTACTGAAATTGATTTTCAATTATCTTATGGTGTAAAATATTATTTTAATCTCTGTTGAAAATTTCATTATTTTTTGTAAAGACTTTTTGATGTTTGCACTACACTACTAATAAGTAACAACATTCTATACTGACAAATATTTTGAACTGATAGTAGTAGAGTGTAGGTCAAAGGGAAAAACTAACGCGTTTGTGTCCTTATCTGCCTTTTAATTGTTTTTTGATTTTATGAATAACATTTAAGGGAATAATAAATTTCCAGGATATTGATTAAATATAAATCGATTCGTTTGAATTTGCGAAATCTCAAACAAGTATCTTGTTTCATTAGAAGAAGAAATTATATTACAAGCGAATCACAGTAGTAGTTGTAGTATCATTATTAGTATTGGTAGTGAAAGGAAACAACAATCCAATACATTCTATCGTTTTCGTTCATCGCACTATTTTCAATATAATTACGTTGGTTAGTTGGAGAGACAAATCTGTTGAAAGCTTCAGTCGCTAAATCGAACAACCTACATTCTCATTTGCATCACATCAACATCAACACACCTATCATCAATTCCCCGTGAATTGGTCGATCGATTATATCAAAGAATAAGTGCAATTTAAGGAAAAATATTGAGTATTCCAAGCAATGAAAATGTTTCTACAAATCCGAATATAAAAAAAGCCAGTGTTATTCTAAATGTAGCTTATTGATTTTATAGTTGTTTAATCAATCGACCAATTCTTACCGAATAACTAAGTGACCGGATTTTTTTTCCATAAAACTTCATTTCAATGTTCATTCGATTGTGTATTTTTTCAAGGTAAAAATCATCATCGTCATCATCATCTTTACTATCCTCTCTAGTATGTACAATTTTAGTAATCAAAACTATTGTGACTAAAATTGACTGAATTTTTCTCAACATAAAATTCCAATGATCGAAAGTTTTGAGGTCATTTAATCTTGACGAGATAAGATAACAATTCTGTAAACATTTTCAGCTTAATTGAATTGTTCAAGATGCTCAATATGATTCTTCGTTATTTTTTAATGCTCACGTAGACATTACTAACAATGCTATGCTATGCTATGCTATTAGGAAGGAATAAATTAACTGATGTTTTCTATAATGAAGTCGTCAGGTAATGATGCGCACTGCCACTGATCAATCCCATAACAGGACGAAACGGCCATCGTCCAGTACTTCCAGGTTTCTAATAGTGTTGGTCTAAAATTGATCGATTCATGGTTTCAAAAAAATGTGTAACTTAACAATCTTCACAACTCCGTAACGCAAAGATTACCTGTGCTCACTAGTGACTAGCTTCGTGTGGAATGTTCTCCGAGTTCTAGTGGGAAGACGTCGTGACCACTGTGAAGTTCAACCTGTTCGGGTGTCTGTCTTCATTTCTCGGACGTAATTTGTTCCTCGGACTTCATCTTTTCCTTTTGCCTTGAGGGTTCCATATTAGGGCTTGTCTTGTGACGAAGTTTGGTACTTTTCGTAGTGTGTCCTATCCACCAACTCCACCGCTTCTTCCTGATTTCCTCATCCTCCTCCTCCTTCACTGGAATCTGGTTTGTTCTCTTCCAGATTATCTATCGGGAAGACAAATGTCTACTTGCTAAATTATAAGTAGTCAAATTGCAAATATGAAAAAGATAGAATGAGGTTAGCAATGGGATAGTAGAAGGAGGAGCTTGTTGTACAATGTCTGACACGTCATCTGGATGTACACTGCTTCTCACAGTTAATATTCACATTTCTGTCAAAATGTAAAACAGCAGAATCATTTTTAAGCATTTCAATCTCAATGTTATGCAAGTTGATAAAGTTTTGGATACACATCTCATGTCTCAGACTAGTTAACTGTAGGGTTCGTTCAAACAAAAGTATGAAGTTTGAATTCGATCGATTACAATCGAACAAACAACATGTACATTACAAAAAAAAATTATCACCATTTCATTAGTCAACATTTCAAACAAATATCATGTCAAGCGCATTGTTATGCGACAGTATTTCTGCTCATTCTGCACATCAGGACGCTAAAACAACTGTTAATCTTTTCATTGCTGCAAAATAACTGTATTGCTCTGTATTAATCCCCTGGATTTAATTATTCCACACACATTAGCTAATCATTTCAATATGGAATAACTTCATCCGGTAATAAGTTAAATGTTGACTCGAACCATGCAAAGAATGTGAACATGATCGATAAATATTAGTTACAATAATGAAGTTTATATACAAAACAATGTTGATTACTAACCAGTAAATTAAGTAGGCTAGATTGACATGATAATCAATCAGTTGCCATATTTAAGCATCAACTAATACATATGGTGCTGTATTATGGAAATGCTGTCAAGTAACAATAAAAATTTGTTTCTATTCAAATGTTAATGAGTTGCAGAAACATAGCACAATTGAATCTATGGGACTATTGTGAATAATCAGTAAAACAATAATTCAACGATTGATTTTTAACACTACAACAATTCGCTAAGATGATAGATTTAATTTAAGACGGATATTATTGAGCATACTATTTGATAACATGGAGTACAGTGGTCATGTAATCAGAATAAATATGTCCCTGCTACACTCAGTCCACTTCGCTTTCACCTCAATCCGACATACGTAGACGGATTCCTCTGACCCTCGCTGTTACTCCAATGCAATGTCATGCGTGCGAAACTGCCCTTTGAGCAACATCGATGCAAGAAGTGTCATTCCGTGGGTCATAAAGATAGTTTCCATCCGGAGAGGAAGACGAAACGCCTCACAATTACCAAAAGGACTGTTCCTAGACCGACAAGGTTAGCCCAAGCCTGCAGCGAACAAAACAAATGTCTCGTAGTGCATGAGGTAATTATCTTCACTTGTTACGACAATTGGAATGTAAAGTTGATTCCGACGTTTTCTTCCAACGTTTATCGGGGTACTATTATGTAATGCCAGCTGATCTAAATTGACTTGCTTTAGTTGGTTCGACCAGTTTTTTTATCTTCCAAGAATATGATTCAGTCCATCAACCTTCGGCCAATACATCAATATCCTTCATCCAATGGAAATTCTCATATACGAACAATAAAAACTGAAGAAGCAATCAAATTAATCAAAAATTACAAATAATCATCAATTTGTAATGAGAAAAAATTAATGCAAATCAACTTTTTCTATTGGTGATTGTCTGTCTGATTCACAATAAGTTCGTCATGTTTACTAATATGAACTAATGAGTATAAGAATAAAAATTGTGAAATGAAATGTAATGATTGCTGTTTTGCAATACGATCATTGGAAAATATTACATAAAGCCATCACTAAACCAACCAATGTTTATACATGCGGCATAAACACAATCAATACTTAAATTGATACTGTGAATAATTGGTAGATTATTCAATGACAGCTGAACGACATTTTGAACCTATCATATTTCTCTAGATTTCGATGTACAGTTCATTATCTTTACGGGGTTGTGAATAATATTAAGTTACACCACCATTAGAAACCTGGAAGCACTGAGTGATGGCCATTTCGTCATGGTATGGGACTCCTCAGTGGCAGTGCCCATCCACGACTCTTGCACCCCGCAGTACTCGAACCCGGGACCGTCGACACTGCGCGCGAAAGCCCTTCTCCTCGCTATCGCTTCAGATTTCTTATAGCCTTTTCAACTTCATAAAAATTCGGAGAACTTTTATCAATTTGCTATTCAGGTGTAGTGCTTCCACGTATATTTGAATTCGCTTACATTTAATTTGGTCAAACCTTTCGATTATTTTTTTATTTGACCAAGCCATTTGTATAACAATAACTTCTTATATGTACCATTGGCTTTTATTATTGTGTGGTTTGTATGAGCTGGTATGACTGAGCATTGCTTACCGCCTACGCGCATATGCATCCTATTCACTTTGATATTGATCTCTTGAATATCACGATGACTCAGACATTTTCCTTTTTTATGTATACGAGTATTTTAATCTTATTAATTCACTCGCTAGTGTGCCTGCCCGGTCTGCTTGTGGTCTGCTATCCTTATT